TACTCGACTATTCTATAGTCCCTGGGGATGAGGCCAGCAGCCAATGTGCTCCGGCCCCACTCCCAAAGAGCCCCCTTCCACTCTGCGCTGCTGCCTCTGATACAGAGGCAGCAGCGCAGGGTGGTAGCAGCCCCTGTTGAGTTGAAAGCAGGGATCTGAGCTCCCAGACCCAGAGTGAGCCAGGCTAGCTGCCCACCCGGCTCCTAATACACTTTAAATGCAGAGCGACAGCAGGGGTAAATCCCAGACCTGGTGCAAGCCATGACTGAGCCAGGCTGCTGACCAGCATGCTAAAAAATTTACTGTCTAGGAGGGAATGGGTGTAGTCCATAGCATTAACCTATAAGCTTTTGCTTATCGGTTAATCGACTACACCTGTGTTTCTTAAACTTCTGAAGGCCGAGGAACACCAAGCAAAAAATGTTTTTGATGAGGAACACCAAGGATTTTTTGTTAGGAGGAAAAAAAAAAGCGGGGGCGGGAGGGGAAGGGTCAGGGAAGTTGAGAAAAAAAGTCGCCTGCTCCTTTAAGGGTGACCATTTTGAATTCTGTTGTTCTCCTTGGCACACCTCCGACTGCCTCCGTGGAACACAGTTTAAGAAACACTGTAATACACTGTTACATCCCTATGAGATACTATCTCCAAAATCTGATTTATAATTTTCTGAGTCGCTCCCGTCCTTAAGAAAAGCCCAGCCTGGAATCCAACATTTGTAGGACTAGCTGAAGACCAGGATTAGGCTTTCCCCAGAGAGCTGTGGATCCCAGCATGATGTCATGGTCATTCACTGGCCTCAACCACTGAGGTACTAGCTGGCCTAGAAAAGACTTGATTTGGGCAGAACTTGCTAGCAAGACTACAGGTTAGTAGGTTCCCAGATGTGCATAACAACGTGTGCCATTAGTAAACAAAACCCTACCAAAACACTTCACTATATGTGCAATTCCCCCTGCACCCAGGAAGAGGACAAACCAAACTAGGGTGTTGAGGGCAAGGTAAGAACCTGTACAAAATAGAAGGCAGGAGGAGGGAAAAGGAGCTGGCGGGGGGAAGGGGCCTTCTTGAATTGTAGGCACCAGAACTGGGACAAAGCATTCCAGCAGCATTTGCATGAGTACCAAATACAAATGTAATAGAACCACCCTACCTGTCTTTTTAACCATCTTCTCCTGGCTGCCCTGATCCCCTGGTGAGATCTTGAACTGGACTAGCTGCTGATCAAAGCTCCCTTTTCTAAATTCTGGAACTAACGAGCAACCTCATGATCAAAGCATGGGGCAGCAGGGTTGCTAATGCCTTAGGGGCAAACCTTTCCCTCTCTATTAGCTTCTGTTGTTGAAAGAGGATAATTCCATCCAAGGAAGGGGGGTTGGGATGGATGCCTGTAAAGTGATTTGATAGTGAAGAGCCAAGGAAAGTGGAAGGTTTTATCCATAGCCCCTCAGATCTCAGTACAGTCCATAGCTTGTGGAAGCATCCAGTGAAATGCTGTGGCCAAAAAGGCTAACGAGAAATGTGGCCATTTAGGCGGAGAATCTCGTATAGGTGTAGGGAGGCTCTGTTACATTTGTATTTAACACTCATGCGATCACTGCTGGAATGCTTTGTCCAGTTCTGGTGCCTACAATTCAAGAAGGTTGCTGGTGAACTGGTTCAGAGAAGAGCCAGGAAAATTATTAAAAGATCAGAAAAACATGGTTTGTAGTGGTAGACTCCAGGAGCTCAATCTGTTTAGCTTAAAGAGGAAGTTAAGGGAAGGTTTAATCACAGTCTAAAAGTATCTACATATGAAACTGTTGTTGTAGCCATGCTGGTTTCAGGATATTAGAGAAACAAGGGCTACGTCTAGTCTAATTTACATCCCTTTTACGAAAAAGGGATGTAGTCTTGACGTAGCCATCGTGGAAAAGCTTAGGATAAGGGATCTTTCGGAAAAGGCTTTATTTTCCGCAAGATCAGTGTCTAGACTGGCGCTTTTTTCCAGCAAAGCTCTGTGCTGGAAAAAAGCGGCAGCCATTTTTATGCTAATGAAGCGGGTGAGATTTAAATCCCCACTTCATTAGCAATTGCTATACGTCTAATTTACATCCCTTTTACGAAAAAGCGATGTAGTCTAGACATAGCCAAGGCGGGTGAGCTTTTTGTTGTTGTTATGGAACCAGTTTCTGTTGATGAGAGAGACAAGCCTTTGAGTTTGTAGTGCTCTGTAGCTTGGAAGCATTTTTCTCTTGCCAGTGGAAGTTTGTCCACTAAAGAGATTCTCACCCACTTTATCTCTCTTCATGGGCAACAGAACTTTGATAGTGAGCTCTTTAGTCTAGAAGGAAAAGGTCTTAGAAAGAGCCTCTGGCTGGCAGTTGAAATTTGGGTTAGAAATAAGGCACAGATTTACCTGTGAAGGGGCTTGCCCAATGGAAAAACTTCCAAAGGGGCGTGGTTCAGCGTCCATTGCTGGGAATGTTTAAGTTAAGGTTGGATGTGTTTCTAACAGATCTGCTCTAGTTCAACTAGGAATGGATTCAGGGCTGGCCTATGGCCTGAGTTATATAGGAGATCAAAGTTGATGATCACAGTGGGCCCTTCTGGCCGTAGCATCTGTGGATGCACCTGGTTCCCTTTGCTGCCCAAACCTGCCCCACAGTGAGGAGGCAGAGGGTCAGACCCTAGGCTGGCACCAGTCAGAGGGTGAGTGGGTTGTGTTCATTTACACCTGCTGAGGAACTAGCCCAAGGAAGCTCTCTTATGGCAGCATTATTCTGTGTGGCATGTTAATTCACACTATTTTCCTTCAGCTGCTAGTTCTTTGGGAGCAGGGATTGTCTCTAAGATCTGTGCTTGGAGAGCACCTGATCCCACGGGATCCTGGCCCATGTCACTTCAGCACATTAGCTAGGCTCTGGTCAGCATTGAGGTAAAATCCTTCTCTGTGGAATCTGCTGCACAAGGCTGTGAAAGATAACTGCCTGCCTGTGGCCCTAGCTCAGAAAGATTTTTAAGGCCAACAGAGAGCCACTGTCTAAAAATAATACTTCCCCCCTCCATGTTCCAACATTCATTCATCGTTATGCCTATTTTGCAGGTAGAGATTTAGGGATGCACAGGGATGAAATTACCTGCCGTAGGTTGCATGAGCCAGGAATAGAACCCACATCTCCAGAGCTACCAGGGTCTTAACTTCTAGCCCAGTATCAGCTCAGGCTCAAAGTATCCATTCATTCCACTTGACCTGAATGATTGGCACCCATGTTGGCCTAACCGGGGTGTAAGCAGCTACACTGCAGCACTTATCTGTATTACTCCATCTCCACTGAGCTGCTCTCCCTGTGTGCATGTCTAGGACATCTTGGGTCTTATTCCATGGTTCTCTGCTGCTGCAGCAAGCTGAGAGGCTCTCATTCTTTCCCAGTGAATTGTGGGAGGACCTGTCTGTCCTTCGGGGGACACTGGGGGAAATTGATGCACGGGAGCAGGCCTGCTGATAGGAGGGGCAAAGGGGGGCAGTTGCTTTGGGGCCTGGTGACTTTAAAGGGCCCAGGGCTCCCAGCCACCACTGCCGTTCCAGTGGCAACAACAGCAGCTGGAGCCCTGGGCCCTTTAAATCGCCATTGGAGCTTTGGGTGGCATGTACCAGGTAGCACTGACGGGCTTGTTGAGGGAGGTTAGCCCCAATCTTGCCTCTTCCTCCTGAGGCCCTGCTCCTCCCTGAAGTCTGGAACCAGCTCCCCCACCACCTTTGCCCAGGGCCCAGTGAAATCTATCTGCCACCTTGCACTGGAGCACTATCAACCCCTCAATTGATTTTATTTGCATCCTCACTGCAAAGTGGGGCTGGTTACCAGTCTGAGTAAACCTGGACTCTAACCCCCCTACACTAGTTGGGCAACTAAACTTGGGGGACAGGGTTTTGTATGTATGGGAGGGGAGCTGGGGTAACACCCAGGTAAAGAGCCTGCAATGAAGATATACTCTGATGACAGGACACAATCGCAGCAAGAGAGCAGCAACCTTCACCTGCTTGAGCCAGTTATTCCGACAGAAGGGCACCCAGATTTGCATGTGTTCTTTGGGCTGAGGGGTTGATATTCAAGGCTCTGACAGGTGGTCAGGCCACTTCCTAAATTTACTCTGTTCCTGCAGCCCCCATGGGTACCTGGATGTGACTAGCAACAGGAGGCTTTCGGTAAAGACTGCAGTGAAAATAACCTGGCTCCACCCTGCTCGCCAGATATCTCTGGTTCCAAGGCTTCCCTGTCCTGAGGGAAAACGGATCCAGGCTCACTCTCACCAGCTCCGGCTGCCTTGAGACATCCCTTTCTTGGCTGTTCTGTCTTGCGGGTTGCCCTGAAGACTTGGGGGGTAATCTCCGATGCAGTGTTGACATGGATTATTGTAACCTCTTTCCTCACTAGCCCCCGGCATGGGGGAAGGGGGAGCAGCCAGCCTTGCAATGGGAGCTCTAGCCTGGGGTGGGGTGGGGGTGTTATATGGCATTTCCATTTATTCAGCTTGTACCCAGATCCTGCTGGGCTTGGGTTTTAGTATCCAGCTCAGCAAGCTGCTGAGCGCCACCCACTCAGCAGGATTGGGGCTTGAGGGGCATGTAGCTAACCAGCTTAGCTTTCCCTAATCAGCTCCAGGTGGAAGGTACCCTTTCCCATGAGGGTGGAAGTAAGATCTCTGGCTCTGTGTTTGGAAAGGGAAATCAAAATCCTTTACGCCCTAACCCTTGGTCCTTTGGTGCTTGGGAGATTTCTGGTGTGTGGGTCAGGCCAGGGCTATGGTTCCCTTTCTGTACCGAGAGAGAGAGAGATAGGAATAGTCCTATCGGATCAGCCTCATGGAGCTCCATCTCTGATCAGCATGAAATGCTTCAGAGAGAAGTGAGCCCTCACCCCCTGAAGCAGCCAGACGTGGGAAAATCTCACCTCCCTCCCAGAAGATTGGTCCCAAGACTCCCATCCTCTCTTCCACTTCCCAAGCAATGTATTTATGCCCACAGGTGGGGACGCCATGGGGCGAGGGAAGCCTGGGCCAGTGCAGATTGTCTTGGTGCACAAGGAAGCCCACTCCTTTGAGCTGGATGAGAAGGCGCTGAGCCGAGTGCTGCTGCAGGATTCCATCCGGGACATGGATGTAGTGGTGGTGTCAGTAGCTGGAGCCTTCCGGAAAGGGAAATCTTTCCTGCTGGACTTCATGCTGCGTTACATGTACACTCAGGTAAGTTCTGTTCCCATGATGCCCTGCTGCTGCATTACATATTTACTTAGAGGAGGCACTGCCCCCTTCCCACAGTGCTTTGCTCCAGCCAACCTAGCCTTGCTCTCAGCCGAGAATCCCCTCCTCTTCCCCTCCCCCGCTTGTTCTGCAGAAGGAAGGCAGCATGTCCGACTGGCTGGGGCAAGAGGATGAGCCCCTGCTGGGGTTTTCATGGCGTGGGGGCTCAGACCCTGAGACCACTGGGATCCAGATCTGGAGTGAGGTGTTCACTGTTGCAAAACCAGATGGGAAAAAGGTAAGGTGGGAGCAATGGGGTGGGGGGGTGTCTCTGGCGGGGTGGAGGCATGGGGTAGGGGGAGCATACCTGGGAGGATGCTGCACCTTTGTGAGTATGATGCACAGAAAGGGCTGTGCCCCCCGGCTTGCAGCATTATGGAAGAAAGTGCACAGATCCTGGCAGTCAGCCAGCCTCTGTCCTGGAGCCAGACCTCTTCTCTGCCTGCTTTGCTTTGGCCTCCTGCCATTTTCTGCAGACTGGTGCAGCTACCCATGGAATCTGCAGGAGGGTGAGACCTGGGTCAGAATGGGATCAAGTCAGCAAGCAGACCGGAGTGCCATGCTAGGGGGAGGGCTAGTGTTAGCAGCTGTTGGTGTGCCAGGGACAGGGAAGCATCAGTCGGGATGATGCTAAGCCTGGTGATCTTTCCCTTGTGGAAGGGGTAGGCCAGGCTGATAGTGCCCCATGTGCCTTTGCTTGGATGCCATCTCCCCACTTGGGAGGGGAGCATTATCTCCACATAATGAGCTGTGGCTGGGGTCTCCCTGGGTTCCAACGTGGGGATGTGTCAGTGCACTTCCTTACATCCCAATCTGTGTCCCTTTTCCCCAGGTGGCAGTGGTTTTGATGGACACCCAGGGTGCTTTCGACAGCCAGTCGACCGTCAAGGACTGTGCCACCATCTTTGCGCTCAGCACCATGACCAGCTCCATGCAGGTGGGCTAGGCAGAGGGGAATGCCCTGGGATTAGACATGGGAAACCATCCCTTCCCTGCAGGTGCCTGGTATGTGGCCCTGGTGACAGGGATTGGGTCTTGGTGTCATCAGCATAGCATGTGGCACGGAGGCTGCCATCCCCCCAGCCCATAGGTGAACTGCACAGATGATCACCTCATGGCTCAGGACCTTAAGCAGTACATTGGGGGCTCTGAACATTGCTTGTGGCTGGGAGCACTCTGTTCCCACTGTGAATAGAGCAGGTGGCATCCACCTTGCTCTGGGTTGGTTAGCCCCATGGGGAACTTGCTGAGATTTCAGTGTGGAAGTTTGGGAGACATGAGCTTTAACCACACACATTGTGTTTGTCTGGGTAATGTGGGAATAGCCTTAGAGATAGAGGGGCCTTGCTTACAAGAACAGGCCAAAGAAGGTGACCTGGAGGTGACGGGGAAGGGGAGAGATGTGCACACAGTGTTCCCACACCAGCATTATGACTGGGAAGCTCGGTCTCACAATCTGATTGTCTGGTAGGGAAGGTTTGAATCTCTGCCTTGCAGCTTCCCTAGAGGGTGCTTGATGTTAACAGCACCTTCTTTCCTTTCAGATCTATAACCTGTCCCAGAACATCCAGGAGGACGACCTGCAGCAGCTGCAGGTAACATGGAAGGCCATGGGGGCCTTGTAACATGTGGATGTGGCAGGGAAGGTGAACTCAGCACCGAGGTGACTCAGAAACAGTCTTTTGAGTTGCTGTACCTGGCTTTGATAGGCCTGACTGGGGTGTGGGTGAGGCAGGGGTCTTACTTGGCCTGCAGTTGATATTTACATGGTGTCTGGTGCTGGCTGCATCTCCATCTGGAGCACCAACAAGGTAATGCCAGCTCCAAGCTCTCTTTCTGGATCAGCAGGGTAAGATCTGTCCCTGTAGCTACAGGATGCTGTGTCCAAAATGGCCAGTGCAATTTAAGATTGCAATGTATAAATGGGAGTAGTGAGCAGGATTTTACCTCTGACTATATTGCTGGTGAGACTGGTTTTTGGAATAGTGCTCACAATTTTGATGTGCATGTTTAAAAAAAAAAAGCGTGTTAAAAATTGGAGCGGGTGCAAGAGTAAAGTCAGAGATCTGATCAGAGGGCTGGAGAAATGCCTGACAGTGAGAGACATATGGAGAGTTAAGTTCTCGAAAAGGAGATTGAGAGGTGACTTGATCATCATGTACAAGTAACTTCACAGGAGAAAATCCCAGGTACTAAACAGCTCTTTCACCTAGTGGGGAAAAGCAGCACAAGAACCGATGGCTGGAAGTTAAAGGCAGGCACGTGTACATTAGGCACCAGTGTTTCACTGTGGGGATGACTGTCCTTTGGTACAAACTCCCAAAAGAAGTGGTGATATCTCCAGATCCAAGCAGGAGGACTTTCAGAAAGATGCTTTAGCCAAGTTCATTTATTGGGTTCAGTACTAGTGGAATGAGTGACATTATCTGGCCTCTGCTATACGGCAAGTCAGACTAGTTGATCTAATGATTTCTTCTGGCCTTAAAATCTGATTACTGTGCTGGCCCATGTGGCTGTTGTGGGATGATGACCCAAGATGTGTGCATGTAGCTTTGTATCTCTGCTGACCCCCCAGTGATCATCTTCCTGTCCACTGCAGCTGTCTTGCCTTAACCATGAATCTCTCTGTTCTCTCAGCTCTTCACAGAATATGGGCGCCTAGCCATGGACGAGATCTTCCTCAAGCCATTCCAGGTAGACCCTTAAGCCCAGTCTGTCTTCATGCTCCACTTCATGCCCCAAGGGCTGAATGAGCACACAGGCCCCGTGGAGGAGCTCGTTGCTACACAGGCCTGCAAGGGGAACTAGATTAGGCCCAGGCTGCAAGTGTCCAGAGGTACCTGCAGAACAAGTAGCCTTAGGCAGAAGTTTTTGATCATTATCCACAATCCAGTAAGAAACTGGTTTGGAGCATGACTGCATTAGCCTGCTTGTTGTGTTTTGGAGCTGCTGGTTGTCAGGATACGAGTGTGTGACCACTGGATTTAAGCCGGAGTCCGCTCTTGGAATAGGGGCAGCTGCAGACGGGGCACTAGAGAGGCCCAGTTATTTTTGTTTGTAGTTCTCCATGGTCTTTTCTCCCCATGGAGTGTCACATCCCTCCTCTCCCAGGCTGTGGAAATTCTCCTGGGTTCCTGCTTCTGGCGAGGTGGCTTCTTCATCCGTGTCTCAGGCTGAGCAATTGGAGAAAATCCAAGAAGGCTGGTCTGACCTTGCCTCTGCTCTAGCTTCTGGCTGTGTCTTCTTTCCTGCTGCTGTCAATAGGGATCACCGGTCTCCTTCTCAGCTATCACTGATTAGTGAGCAGGGCAGGTGGTGCTAGGTTCTGGACCTTAAAGGGCAGGGCACTTACCCTGTTACAGAAGGGTTGGTGGCACTAAGTGGCTTCAGAGCCCCAGCCTGTCTGTGAAATGCATTTGATAGGTCTCCACCTACTTCCCATCACAAAGAGCTGATGAAGCATGGAGATTAAATTCCCTTCTCCTAATAGGGGTCACAGCAATGAGACAGAGACAGGAAGCTGTAGCTGTGACTTGCTTCCCAGCCAGCAATCACATACAGGAATCCTATTGTCCCCAGTTCTGTGGCCTCCCCGCTATCTTCATGTCCTTCCCTGCTGAATCAGTTCTGCTCCTTGCAGGGGCAGTGAGGTGCTGCCTCTTGCTGTCAGCTGCCCAGGAGAGATTCAAATGCTGCCCAGCTGATTAGCAGAGTGCCCACAGCTGGCAGCACGTGTTTCTGTTGGTGGGGAACATCTGCACAAACCTTGGTGCACATAAAAAATGTGTTCTGCATATGCATGGAAAAAATTAGAAGGAACATTAGCTGTCACCCTGTTCTATCACTATTGCCCAATACAGTCCCAAGCTGGTGGTACAGAGCAAGCACATCCCCTCAGCCAGAGATGGGGAACCTACGGCCTGTGGGCTGGATTAGGTCTGTGGTTTGCCTTGATCAGGCTCGGGGCTCCCTCCCCCCTACAGGGGTGCGAGCTAGTGCTGGCTTCCTGCTACTGTGGGGAGCTTCAAGCCTCACAGGCCCAATCCAGGCAAGTTGAGGTTGGATCCCATCATCCCTTGAATCAACACCAATGGGAGTGATGGGGGGTGGTGCTGGCAGATAGTAGTTTACAGTCACACGGAGCCATGCACACCGCCCCCCTCAACCCTCCCGCCCTGAGTTGCACTAAGTAGGCATCCCCATCCTCTGTCCTCTCCTGTCCAGACCCCACACCTACCTCCCCTGCTCCACTCCTCCCTCCTGCACCCTTCCTCCTACCCAGACCCTTCACCCCCACCCTGGTCCTGCACCCCCCTTAAAAATCCCCATCCCAGCCCACTCCTGCACCCTACCTCCCAGCCAGACCTCCCACCCCAGCCCTGCTGCACCCTACCTCCCAGCCAGACCTCCCACCCCAGCCCAGCCCAGTCCATTTCCCAGCAGCCCCCTCCCATGCACTGTGCCCCTCATTTTTGGCCTCATCCCAGAGTCTTCTTTTTCTTGTTTCTGAAATGGGGGCCACATCTGTTAGGGTTTTTTTTCCTCGCTTGGGAGCCAGGTCCGTGAGGTGTTTGTCCTGCTTCAGTCAGGGCCCCTGACTGATTTTTCTGGGGTTCAGTGGCTCCAGACCCAAAATAAATTCCCTAAACCTGCCCCAAACCCTCAGCTGACCCACTATGACCTGCCTTCCCATCTCTCTCAGACCCTGATGTTCTTGGTCCGGGACTGGAGCTTCCCATACGAGTACCCCTATGGCCTGGAGGGAGGAAGGAAATTTCTGGAGAAGCGATTGAAGGTGAGGACTGACTAGGACAGCCACACTGGCTACACATCCATAAAGGGGGTTGGCATTTGATCCGAGTGAGCGAGCATGCTTGGGGCATCACTCAGCTGAGAGCCATTTGCAGCCCGGAGCTTAGAGCATGGGATGTAACTCACTTGCTTTCCAGCAGGTGGAGCCTGTCCCCCCAATCTGAGACTAGCTTGTCCCAGGAGTCTCTCTCAAACCTGAGCTCTTGACTGTGTTGACTCCATCTCTCATGTGTTGCTATCCCTCGGCTCTCAGGCCTTGACATCTTGCTTATGGGCCCTGCAGGATGACTGAGAGCTGAAGTCAGCAGGGTTGCATGGAGAGAGGGACAAATTAGTGCCAGATTTAGTCTTTTATTCCTGCTTTGTGCACTGATCCCCCCCATCCTCAGGCTTCCATCTTCATAGCAGAGTGATTCAGCAGCACCCCCTTGGGGAGCTATTAGTGGCTGTGTCAGAGGGGACGTTCTCCTGCACACCTTGGCCTTGGCCTGGATCCAACAGGATCTTTGGGTCTAGTTCATAATCCCCCAGGCAGCCCTCACTGGCATCAGGGTGGGAGGACTCCTTCTCCTAGAACAGGGGTGTGGCTCACTGGGATAATTGATGACATGGGAGATATCGGCCTGCCTGTAGGTGAAGACCCATCAGCATGAGGAGATCCAGAACGTCCGCAGGCACATCCACTCCTGTTTCACCATGGTCAACTGCTTCCTCCTGCCGCACCCAGGACTCAAGGTGGCTACTAGCCCCGGCTTTGATGGGCGACTGAAAGGTAGGCTCTGTGCAGAATTGACTCTGCTCCCACCACAATCCAGAATGAATAATATAGCTCCCCTTGCATGGACTCAACGTAGCCTGTTCCTAACTCGGACACTGAGGGTTTGACAGGACTTAGGCCACAGCCACTGAGCACTGGAACACTGCCTCCAGGGTCTGCAAACTCAGAGTGCTGAAGAATCTGCATTATGATCTTTTGGAGACTGTATCTTAAAGGGGTCTGGTCATCTTAAAATTCCCAGCAAAAAATGTGCTCTGCTCAGGTTACAAATTGTAAATAATGGATTTGTCATGGGCTGTTCTGAGAAAACAAGGGAAAACCCCATAATATTTTCTCAAAGTTTTGGTGAACCAAAACGTAGGCAGATAATTCATTTGGGGTCCATCATTTTGGTTTTTGTGCTCCCCCCTTAAATTTTTTATATATAAAAATAAAAATAATTAAGTGAAAATTGTTTTGGTTTTTTTTGTCTTAAACAGTTTGCTAAAACTGACACCTGTGCATGAGATGTCTGTGTTAATTCAGATCTGCCTTTTCACTGAAAAAAGTTGACTCAGAAAATGTCCGGCTCTAGTTTAAAGTAGTTGTTATATTGAACTGTGTGAGGGCCTAAGAACCCTAGTCGTGGACTGGGACCCATAGTGCCCGGCGCTGTGAAAACAGAACAAAAAGCTGGTCTCTCCCCCAAACAGCTTTTAGATTAAGGATAAGACGAGACTACAGCTGGATACAACCAGATGATGAAGCACAAGGAAATCATTAGACTGCCCCACGCTCCTAAAATACTCTTATTGCAGAGCCACAGCATGGGTAGTTGCTGGACCCAGCACAAGCCAGAACTGAGAGTTTGCAGTGCTAACCCTTATCGATTAAGCGTGTAGTCAACAAAAATTGTATCGACTTAAAGATTAACAAATTACATGCTGCTTAACATCCCTAGTGTGTCTGTCTATGCTAGTTTCTTAACATGTCTTATTCCTTCCTGCCCGAGCCCAGACATTGCGGCTGAGTTCAAGGAACAACTCCAGCAGTTCATCCCCTTTGTGCTGGACCCTGGACAGCTGTTGGAGAAGGAGATTAATGGTTCCAAGGTCACTTGCCGAGGCCTGCTGGAATATTTCAAGGTGGGCAGAATCTAGGATGAATGAGAAAATGT